GGAATGATTTTTACAAACACAAAACAAAGAATGTATGCAACAAAGGCTGTATGAAGTCCACAAAGCCTTTAGTGTTTACTCACTGGCCCTTTACAGAGAAAGTGCACTGATACAGGCACTACAAGAGTCTAGTAGCTGCACACAGACCTCCCCCCAATCCATTTTTTCAATATATCTGTCATGTTATTTGTGCTTAAAGAATTATCAAAATGTGAATTAAATTCAAGGCAACATTAAAATATATATAAATGTTAAGTTTAAAGGGGAAAGAAGGAAAAACATGAAAATAAAATTTTTCAAGTACCATAGACAAAACTTTCCCAAAGATTTTTGAAAATCCTTCAGTTTATATCTGTTATGTGTCCTTGTCCATCTGCTTACAGATGCCCACCGAGAAACCCATCTAATAACTAACAGAACGTGCTTCTCTGGATGTGTATCAATTCTATGCTGTATTTCACACAATTTTACAAGCCTTCACATCCATGGTTACCTTTGGGTGAGAGAATCACTGAAAATTTTCCAGAATTCTCTGACATAGTAACTATCTACTTGTCACATTAGACATGTACCAATAAACTCTCGTCTCGTCTTTAGGATCCTACAAACTCTTGTGCAGTTAGCATAGGCAGCACATAAAAAGTCAACCTACAGACTACATTCAAGTTGTAAACATCGCTATTTGAGTCAGTAACTGTTTTAAAGATCTAATTTTAAAGATTAAAAAAACAGAGAAAGTTCAGATGTTCCTATAAAAGGACTACTATACAGTCTGACCCTGGGCCTGCCACGTTATCTACATTCTGTCTTAACTGATCTTTCTTGTCATATCTGAGGGTGATTTTATACCTTGATCGTCAAGAGCTGCAACCGACAGCATTCTAGCTTCCTTTCCATTTCATTTCTTTGTTTGCTTTTTCTTAGTAGAATAGCAATAGGAGGTCATTGCACAATATTTCAAAAACAGAGAAAACCACATCAGAACATAAAAATCACTTCTAATTTCACCAACCAGAACACTTTATTTTAACTCGCCAATATTTTTATATACAAACATATTCATACATGTGTGTTTATACAAACAAAATTAGAACTGCAGTGGCCACTCTCATAACTAGTGTATTTTCCCCTTTCTATTGTATCATGAGCATCTTTACTGGTTCGAAAATTCTTCGAGAACATAATTTCAATACAGCAGTACCCCAATCTCCAGCACATACGTCCCAAGCCCCCACCAACTGCTTGAAACCATGGATAGTGCCAAACCCTACACACACTATGTTTTTCCCTACACATACACACCTATGATAAAATTTTATATGTTCGCTGAGTAAGAGATTTACAAGAGAAGGTAATAAGGAAACAGTTCTAAGGATACACTGTAATAAAAGCTATGTGAATGGGGCATCTCCCTCAAAATATCTGACTGTACTGTACTCACACGTCTTGTGATGATATGAGATGATCAAAGGCCTGGGTGAGAAAATGAGGTAACCGAGGTGAAGTGAGGTGTCATAAGCATGGTGTCATAGCGTTAGGAGATCACTGACCTGATGATGCTACATCTCAAGCAGGATCATCAACGGGACCACAGCTGATCACAGGTAAGTGAAACCGCAGAAAGTGAACCCGTGGATAAGGAGAGCTACTATAGCTTCAGAATTCTGGATCATACGGCTATACAATAATTTCCTTAACTTGCCCTTCACTACTCTTTGAAAGATATTTGTTTACAAGCATCTTTAATTTACCTCCGATTCTTTCTTCAGGATGACTCATCATAGGGAGATTTACTACACCAAAAGGGTCAAGACCTTTAAAACAAACTGCCAAATAAAGAACCTTCCTCCAGAAATAGACCAACTTAGTTTGCCACCAGTGTTCATTTCATGTTGCAGACATCTTCAAACCTCTCTTCTATGGGCTACAGAAGCCTCTGTAGGGTGCTCTCAGAGTGAACTTTCATCCACCTAGTTTCTTGATCAGAATCTAACCTCCACAATTTTCTAGGGTTTCTTCTTTTATCTAATCAAATTTCCATTAAAAAATTATTTTTAATGTGTAATAATCCAGAAATTTATTGGTCTTTAGTTATAAGTTCTGAGGTAATGTATACGGAAACATTTTTAAACCTGAATATTATAGGGGCGCCTGGGTGGCTCAGTTGGTTAAGCGTCCAACTTCGGCTCAGGTCATGATCTCACAGTTCATGGGTTCAAGCCCATCGGGCTCTGTGCTGACAGCTCAGAACCTGGAGCCTACATCAGATTCTGTGTCTCCCTCTCTCTCTGCCCTACTTGTGCTCTGTCTCTCTCTGTCTCTCAAAAATAAATGAATGTATAAAAAAAAATTTTTGGGGGGGCGCCTGGGTGGCTTAGTCGGTTAAGTGTCCGACTTTCACTTAGGTCATGATCTCACGGTTCGTGGGTTCGAGCCCCGCGTCGGGCTCTGTGCTGACTGCCAGCTCAGAGCCTGGAGCCTATTTTGGAGTCTGTGTCTCCCTCTCTCTCTGACCCTCCCCTGTTCACACTGTCTCTCTCTCTCTCTCTCTCCTAGAAATAAATAAAAAAATATATATATATTTTTAAAATAAATAAATAAATAAAAATTAAAAAAATTTTTTTAAACCTGAATATTAAATATAAGTTAATACATAATTTTTTCTGAATTTCTATTATGGTACTCCAAAATAGTCTCTTAAGATTCTGGTAAGCTTTTAGGGGCGTCTGGGTGGCTCAGTCGGCTAAGCATTCAACTTCAGCTCAGGTCATGATCTCGTGGTGCGTGGGTTCGAGCCCCGTGTCGGGATCTGTGCTGACACCTAGCTTAGAGCCTGGAGCCTGCTTCCGATTCTGTGTCTCCCTCTCTCTCTGACCCTCCCCCGCTTACACTGTCTCTCTCTCTCTCTCAGAAATAAATAAAAAGCATTTAAAAAATTTTTTTTCAATAAAAAAGATTCTAGTAAGCTTTTAAACTCTATTTCATCCCAGGACACCTCGGTGGCTAAGTCAGTTGCGTGACTGACTCTTGATTTCCACTAGGGTCATGACCCCAGGGTCATGGGATCAAGCCCCACATCAGGCTCCATGAGGAATGCTGAGCCTGCTTGAGATTCTCTCTCCCTCTCCATGGGCCCCTTCTCCCTCATTCGCGCATTCTCTCTCTCCCTAAAATAAAATTAATAGGGGCACCTGGGTGGCTCAGTCAGTTGAGTGTCTAACTTCAGCTCAGGTCATGATCTCACAGTTTGTGGGTTCAAGCCCCATATTGGGCAGGGCTCTGTGCTAACAGCTTGGAGCCTGGCACCTGCTTCGGATTCTGTATCTCCCTCCCTCTCTGCCCCTCCCCTGCTGGGGAAATAAGCTATTTCATCCCAGTATTTATGATTTTATCAAAGTGTTCTTTACTAAAGAAAAGGAATCTATGACCATTTAAATAACATATGTGATATTAATAATGTGAATATACATGATACAAGCCACTGTCCTTGTTGTTTAATAAGTGACTACTTCATTAGAACTGTATATAGACAGTCCATAAAAGTCTTCTAAGAGGGGTACATGGGTGGCTCAGCTGGTTAAGCAACCTACTCTTGATTTAAGCTCAGGTCATGATCTCATGTTTCATCAGTTCAACCCCCACGTCAGGCTCTGTGCTGACGGCACAGAATCTGCTTGGGAGTGTCTGTCACCCTATCCCTCTGCCATCCTTCACTTGCACTTGCTCTCTCAGAAATAAAGACAGATTAAAAAAAAAGTCTTGTAAGAGACCATCAATGGCCATGATATAAAGTCTTTTTTGTTTGTTTGTTTTAATGTTTATTTATTTATTTCAGGAGAGAGGCAGAGAGAGGGGTAGAGAATCCCAAGCCAGTTCCCTGCTCAACATGAAGCCCAATCATGCAGGGCTCAATCCCACAAATCCAGAGATTACAACCTGGGCCAATATCAACAGTCGGATGCTTAACCAACTAAGCCACCCAGGTACCCTGGCCATGATTTAAAGTCTTAAAGAGTAATGAAAATAAATTACATTTATTTTTTATTTTCATTACTCTTAAGAGTAATGAAAATAAATAAATAAATAAGTGATGAAAAATATATTCTATCTGACTTTGTCAATTTTACATGCAAGTAATTTGAAATTAGATATGTTCCAAAAGTCAGATCATACTTAAACTATAAATAGAGTAACACAAAGTATCTTTAAGTTATTACTTTTCCTTTCTGAATATATACATTAATATATATATATCTTAATATATATCGGTCTCTATTAATAATGTTAACAGTAAGGTACCATTAAGGCAGAGGGAAAAAAAATAGATTGGTTAGGCTAATTTAAAGGGAAAACTACTTACAAAAATCTACTCATGTCTAATAACTGTGGTTCACTGTTTAAAGCTTGTTTCCATTTAATCTAAAACCTGGAATGCTACTACCAAATATACCAACTATTTCATGAACATCTGCCTTCATTCCAACTTTAATTTCTAAGGTTACTTTTCCTATAATGATTCAAATAAGCTTTGGGGTTTATGCTTGGACTTAACTTGTGGCATATGGATAAAATACAAAATATGTTAAAGGCTTTATAAGTGGCTGTAGAGGTATTTCATTACTATCAAATAGTTTTCCAGAAAATTTAAATCATTTCATTCTTAAAATTACATTCCAAGATATGTAGTCTCTTTCAGTGGTTGTACATTTATTCAATCAATATTTACTGAGTGCTCGCTCTGACTGCTGTTAACAGAAACCTCCGGCATGGCACGGACCACACATTTACACACCTAGTGAGTGGCACAGTCTTATGGAAATGAAATATACACTGAACATGGAGAAGCCGAGACAAACAGGACACAGCACTGAACAACATCTACTGAATGACAATCATTACTACCTGTCTTCACTTTAGCAAACCTCCATTTTCATTTACAAATGAAAAATACCATTGAAAGGGGAGTTTGTTTTAAAAAGAGTATGCCTAAAGTAACTTACTTGCTGACTTCTTTATACTGGGCTATCTCCTCAATATAAAGAAGGTCATGCAGCCGTGACTGATAGTTGGTCTTGGTCAATGATTTGTCTAAAACGGACTGGGTAAACAGCTGGTCAGCAGAGAGAGGAATTTGGTATCTGATAAGAAGGCTCTTCTCCAAATCAGTAGTTTCATTAGGTTCAAAATCTATAATAGTCTTAGAAGAAGAATCCCAACGCTTAGCCGTGGTTACTAGCTGCTGTTTTGCATGCATCAGGTATTCAAGATCTAAATGGAAACAAAAAACACATTTATAAAGAACACAACATTAAAATTCTCAAATACATTACACATTTTGGTAGGACCATTTTATATGCTTGAGCTAATAAGGAACTTGCCCCATATCAGAAATCTTTTCTCTAGCTCAACAAAATAACATATATAGGAACCTATATTACAAAACAAAAAAACAAAAAACACCTCTTTTTTAACATTAGGCTAAGACATACCAGAAATAGCTATTAACATTTTAAAAATAGATTAACATTTAGAACTTTTAACTCTTTAGTCAAAAGAAATCCAAACTGCAAGAAGAAAATAGGATAAATTCCTCATAAGATAATATCTCTTAGGTGATAATCACTTTTCTCCTACTAACAATTCCTGCCCATTATGGAAAGAGAAGATAGAACGCTATGAAAGGTTAAGTCTTTTCTAGCATGGTAAATAAAGAACAGTGAAACTCTCTGAAAGTCAACTTATGACAAACAAAAATCTTTTAGAAAATTCTCATGTAAAACCACTGCTAATTCCTTGTTAAAACGTCATACGATGTGCCATTCAAATGCCATTTCAGAAAAATCCAGTTCAGCCTCAGTTAAATTATACTGTAAGTAGGGCACAATGTCAAAATGAATGACTGTTCAGGTTCTGACATCTCTGAAGAAAAAAAAAAACTGACACACAGAACCAGCACAGGGTGAAATACACAGGAACATAAATTCTGAGCGGTGGGTAGGCTCGCTCAATCTGCAGCACATATTACTTTTCTATTGGGTGGAGCACACACAGACCTATAAATATGAAACTTGGCCCAAAGGGGGGAAAAAAGCTGCTTGATGACTTCATTAGGCTGATATCCAGCTTTAATGTAACGTAATTGAAAAGATGGCTTCACAACTCAGGTTACAATTTAGGGAAGAAATAATGAAAAGTTTAAACAGAGATCAGTTAAATGTCCAAAGTACAAAAATAAGTTGCCCTGCACTATCTTCAGAGTGAGAGAACAATGCATAATTGCCGTGTAACACTTAGTGAGAGATTTGCCTGCATTTAAATGTTACATATAAATTATAAATATCTGAGTATAGTCATCTAAAAGACATTCTCAATACCAGAAAATTGTTTATCCTAATGTCTTACTAAAGATTCAAATGCAAAGGTTCTAATTTAAATGTTTAAAAAATTAAAAAAAAAAAGGAAAGTCACTAATTTCTTGCCTTTGCTCCTTGAAAAGGTATTTTCACATGCCAGTTTTATTTCTCCAATGGTAAAATAAATACACCTATAATCATCAAGGTAGAAGGCTGGTCTGCATTCTTATAATACTCTGGATTAGGCAGGGGTGGACTGGCTTTGCAATAGCTTCAAAAAGAGAAGTTTCATAAAGTAAAGTAACCACATTTTCTGCCTCAATCATTCTAAATTGGGTTTCATTCATTAAATCATAGCTACCAAAAATACGTAAATTACACACATGCCAACATTACTAAAACAGGTTATACAATCACTAAAAATCAGATGATAATCATTATCAAAATAACAAGGATGTACATACTTTTTTCTGTTAATTCAAAAGTCAAGAGGGTGCCTGGGTGGCTCAGTCGGTTGAGCGTCCGACTTCGGCTCAGGTCATGATCTCACAGCTCGTGGGTTCGAGCCCCATGCCAGGCTCTGTGCTGACAGCTAGCTCAGAGCCTGGAGCCTGCTTCAGATTCTCTATCTCCCTCTCTCCTGACCCTCCCCTGCTCAGAGTGTCTCTCTCTCTCTCAGAAATAAATGAAAAGTTAAAGAAAAAAAATTTTTTAATAAAAATAAAAAATAAAAAAGTCCAGGGAAACAGCAATAGTATAGTGACAAACCAGATAACCAACTCCTTAAAAATAAAACAAAACCTGAAATCTACATAATATCAAAGAATCTCTGTAATATGTAATAAAAGGATGCCTATTCTTTGGAAGTAGGGGAATTATATGTCATTATTTTATTTTAAATAAGAAATTGAGGGGCACCTGGGTAGCTCAGTCGGTTAAGCATCCGACTTCAGCTCAGGTCATGATTTCACGGTTTATGGGTTCGAGCCCTGCAGCGGGTTCTGTGTTGACAATTAGCTCAGAGCCTGGAGCCTGTTTCGGATTCTGTGTCTCCCTCTCTCTCTGTCCCTCTCTTGCTCATGCTGTGTGTGTGTGTGTGTCTCTCTCTCTCTCAGAAATTAATAAAATGTTAAAAAAATTTAAATAAGAAATTGAATCAGACTATGCCTAGATCAATATTATGTTCACATTCTTTAAAAAGTCACTAATTGGGGCAACTGGCTTGCTCAGTCAGTTGAGCGCCTGACTCTTGAATCTGGCTCAGGTCATGACCCCAGGGTCGTGGGATCAAGTCCCATGACGGGCTCCATGCTGAGCATGGAGTCTGCTTGTGGATTCTCTTCCTCTCTCTCCCTCTACCATTCTCTCCCACTCATACACTCTTTCTCTTTAAAATAAAAATAAATAAATAGTCACTAACTCTTCCTAACTGATGTTTAAGTAACTGGGATAGTAAGAAACCTAAAGTGATAGTTTTCCATTTAAAAAGATTTTTGTATCACCTATTTAATGTGCAAAGCAAATGATAACAGAAAGTCATTCCGGGAAAAGTGGTATGGCGGGGCTTGAACTCGCAGGAACTGTGACCTGATCCGAAATCAAAAACTTGTTTTTCTCATCTATATAGTGCCATAACTGCCATCCTGGTTTTATGCAATTATTAAAATTAGTGTCCTCAGCAGGTAGCACAATTTCAAAATAATTCCCAAACAATGTTAAATTTTATTCCGTGGTTTTTTTTTGTTTGTTTTGTTTTGTTTTAATGACTATAAACACAGTACAGGCGGGGTACCTGGGGGGCTCAGTCGGTTCAGTGTCCAACTTTTCATTTCGGCTTAGGCCATGATCTCATGGTTTCTGGGTTCAAGCCCTGTGTCAGGCTCTGGCTGACAGAGGGGAGCCTATTTGAGATTCTCCTTCTCCCTCTTTCTGCCCCTTCCCTGCTCTCTCTCAAAATAAATAAACTTAAAAGGGAGGGAAGGGTGTTGGATAGGGGGATGGATGGGCTAAACGGACAGTGGACATTTAAGGAGGGCACTTGTTGGGAGGAGCACTGGGTGTTATATGTAAGTGATGAGTCATTAAATTCTATTCCTGACATCATTATGACACTATATCCAACTAACTTGGATTTAAATTTAAAAACTAATAAAAAATTTAAAAAGAGAGACACAAACAGAAAAACTCAGACTCTCAAACACAAAGAATAAACTGATGGCGGGGGGGGGGGGGGGGCGTTCTGGAA